CGGCGGGCAGAGGGGCTCGGGATGAGCAGCAGTGGCTCTTGGCTGGGCGGGCAGCGTGTCGGTGTGCCCGCCGCCGGGATGGCACAGGGAGGAGGCCTGGGGAGCTCAGGCACACGGCAGAGGTGTGGGAGGGCACCGACGCACGTGTCTGCACGTGCCCGGGTTTCGGTGCTTCTGCATCAACATGTGCAGAGAGTTTTTACATCTGCCCAGAGAAGTATTGCCAGCTGTACCCCACGGCCTTGGGGACAGCCGAGGATGGGGCAAAAGAGCAGAGAGGGTGAAAGGAAGGCAGGCAAAGGCAGGAGGAAAGGCCAGTGCCTTGGCTTCCCCTCCACCCTGAACACAGCGAGTCCTGACCCCTGCTCCTCAGCTGCCCGCAGGGATGCTTGGTGTTTATGACAGCAGTGGCAAATCCGAAGGGATGGATTCCCAGCTGAAGCCCTCGCTGACCAGGGCAGCTGGCAGGAAGAGTTATTTATCCGGGCTGATTGGACTCTGTAACAGGGATACAGAGTTTTCATCTCAGAAAGTGGTAAATTAGGCTGAAATATTTGATGCCCTTGTGCAATGACCTTCTGCTTCCAAGCACAGAGATGACTGTGCAGGTAACCAAGGACACGTTCCTGCACCTACAGCACCTTTGGGATACTTGATCCTTGAGGATACAAGTGAAAATACTCTTGGTGTCCCATGACTGCCTTCCTCTCCAGGGGCTGTTACCTTTTCTGCCTGCCTTCTGCAGGATACGTCCGGTTTAACTTCTGGCTGTGCTGGGAATCTCCACAAACCAGCACCTTGCTAGCTGTCAGCTGTCTTCCCCCCCAACGGTCTCCCAGCACGTTTTGAACTCACTGTCCAAATTTAATACTATTTAATAGCACCAGAGATTGCTTCAAGAGAGAAAAATGCTACAAACTTTGTGAAAAGAGGCAACCAGGGCAGGGGAGGAAAGCCCCTTGAACACCCTGGGGATGAGGGGAGGCACAACCCCTGTGAGACACCCGAGAGTCCGCAGCTCCCTGTGTCCTTACGAGGGGGGGTCAGGCTGTGATGGCCCAGCGGAGGCTGCAATGCTGCTTTTTTGCTGGGGCCAGAACGGGGCAGGTTGGGGTTCGTTGGCGAACTCCCGGTGGCCTCCCCCCAGAGCTGGAGCGCTGTGGGCATGGACGGCCGCTGGCACGGGTGGCTGCCCGTGGCTGCTGCAGAGCAGCGTCGCCCCCGTTTCCCTCTTGGCTCTGCTTGTCACCGGCTGCCTGACAGCCACTTCTCCAATGCCGCAGGGAGGGGAGGGCTTTTTCTTGGCTAGGGGCAAAGAATACTCTGAAATCTGCTTTTTCTAGCCCAAACTCCACGTGCTGAGCTACAGCAAGACCCAGCTTTGCTTTGCTCCAGCTCTCCCCACTTGCTGGGCTGGTCCCCAGGGGAAGGGGACACATCCTGGATGGGGAATAAGTTGATGCGTGCCCTGGGCTGACTCTTCCAGCTCCCATGGGCACAGGGCAGGGCAGGGTGACCGGCTGAGGAGCTGTGGATAAGTGATGTATAAGGTGAAGAAGCTTCATGTGAATTAACTCTGCTCCTGTGATTATTCCAGTCCCAGCAAGCAGGTTTTTTTGCTGGAAAGCAATCCAATTCCAGCTGTAAGCAAAGCCAGTTACAGTGCAGGGACTAAAACCAAATTAAATCTTGTGTATGGCTCAACAAGGGGTGGGTTATTGAGAGGAAGAGAGGAGAAATCGATGTGAGCCTGACAGGAGCGCTGCGGGGGGAAGGGCAAGGCAGGGTGGGAAGGGCTGGGGGTGGATGCACGCTGCCTCTTCCAGGATGTGGGGACAACCATGTCTGAGAAATAGAAGAAAAATGCCTAGATAAAATAGGGAGGGGGGTATTAGGGAGTCACTACAGAGGTCATGGAAATGAGAGGGAAGGTGATTATGAAGCAATGAAGGCTCAAAGGCAAAAAGCAGCAGAAAATCCCACCGGGAGAGCAGAGGGACTGGTGACTTAGCGGCGTGAGCAGCCCCGGGAGGACGGAGGAGCGGTGCCCAGTCACGGTGCGTGCCGGCAGAGGAGTGGTGAGTGCCACCACAGGAGCAGCGTGTGGCATGGCCTGTGCCCCTGTGCAGTACCAGGGTTTTGGCAGGCAGCTGGCAGCGGCTGCAGGGTGTGGAGACACGTGGCAGCTCGTTTCCAGCTGATGCTCACGCCAAGGGAAGAGCAGAACGCTTTGCCCCTAGAGCAGGTCTTGAGCCTGGGCGGTTCCTCACGCCACAGCCTTGACTGGTGGGTTCAGAGAGGCTTCACTGATGCCCTTGACTTGTGTGTTGCTGGTCTCCCATCCACGCACACCCCATCCTTCACCCCTCTGCTTCCCATCAAGCAAAACCCCACGCTGTCATCTCCCAGAGCTTTTGGAAAAAGCAGAAAGACAGAGCAAAGGGCATTGGGAGAAGGGGGAGGAATTTGCAGCCTTCTCTCCTCCTGTAGGAGGGGGGTCAAGAGTTTATCAGCGTCTCCTGAGGGTCTGGTGAATCCTGAGGGTCCCTGCTCTCTTCCCGGCTGTTGGTGCTCTGCACCGGTGTTTCAGAGCCTCCCCCACCCGCTCCATCTGCATCTCCTCCTCCCACAGCCTCAGCCTGGTCCATCCGTTCGTGGCTGACCGTTTATTTTTACTCTTTTTCTTCTGGGCATCTTTTCTTCTTTTTTTTTCCCCTTCTTCCATCCTGTCCCTATTGATCTGTGAAGTAACTGGAGATGCAGGAGTCAAGACAGGAATAGACACAAGCAAGCCCTTGGCCTGTGTGCTTGGGAGTGTGCAGCAGGCAGGGTGGGGAAGGGAAGCGGAAAGACTTTTCCCCGCAGATCTCTGTTCGCGGCTTAGTTTTCTCCTCCGTGCAGCGATGAGCTCACTTCTCGGGAATGGGTGAATGAGCTTTTCCTGGCTGCCGGGACTGACGGCCGGCGCAATGAAAGCTGCTGGTTCTCTTTCCACTACCCACTGCGTCTCTTTGGAGTAATTTTTTCCCCTTCATATCGTCAGTCACCGCAGTGCTCAGCGGGGCACGCTCCATCACGGAGACGTTAATAAGCCATAATTGAAGTTAATGTGCCGTGGCCAGGACACGTGGATCCAGTTAGGAGAAATCAGATTGAGCAGAAGTGAATCAATTTTAGGCTGATTATTAAGATTTCTCTCCTTCATCCTCCTCTGCCCCAGCACGTGTGTGTGTCTGTCTGTCGTGCCGGGGATGAGCCATCCCCAGAGGAAGGCAGGAGGAGGGGGAGTTACTCATCACCAAGCAGCTCCACGTAACAGTTCCTCATCTTGAACTTTGCTCAGGCCAACGAGAAGATGAGGTTTCCACTTTTGCAACAGCATTTCCTTTCGTCTCTTTACCTATTGCCTCTTGGAGGGTTTTCTTGGCTTCTCTTTTGCTCACCCTTCAAAAAGAATTGAAGGGAAAGGCTCTCTGTGCTCCCCTGCTTCGATCCCTGCCTTCCCCTCGGCCAGTTCTCAGTGCCAAGCGCAGATCCTCTCCGTGAGGCGCTGCTCTTCGCATGACGTGGAGCCGAGAGTTTGTGCTAGCAGGGCAGAATGAGTCCCCCCAGCCCATTACCCTGGTGCCAACAGCCAGGATTGGGCATTCCAGACCTGGAGGATCAGGGCCATCCCCCAAAGCACCTACTCCTTTACATCGAGCTGCTTAATTGTCAGTGGTACCCACATGCAAGTGAAGGCACATTTTTCTGCATTCTTGGTAGCTCCTGATGATGCTCGATGCTGTATTTCTGTTAAAGATTAAGCAGTTCCTGCTCAGCCTGGTAGCTGCCCCCTTCTTCTGACCTCCCGGCCAACATGATGACAGCAGCTGAGCATGCTTCCCTCTGATTGTAGCTCAGCTACCATCGCATCCTGGCTGCCCCAGGCTGCTTTGCCCTGCTTGGACATTCCTCCTTCTGCCTCTGTTGCTGGAACTGTTGGAGAGCCTCCAGCTGATCTTGGCTTCTCCAAC